GGCCACTACTGTCTACAAGTATCGGAGTAGACGCAGCAGAGCCGTCCTTTATCATCTCTCTGGTCGATTTGATAAAAACAATAAGCAGAAAATGCGCTTTAAGCGGGTATGTTAACTGATTAAAACTGAAGTCCTGGTGGCCCGACGGGGGAGGGGAAACAGTAGTTTAAGTAATGCACCCCATATATCCCTAGTCCCAGCTTTTGTCCTATGGAAAGGGTAGCTAAATGTGTTTTATGGGGCAGTGGAATGTACTTTAATAACCGCTATATGCACTTTTGATTTATTGTATGTAGTATTGTTGTTGTTTATATCTGTAGATTATACTTATCTGTATTATCGTTTAACGTATTGCGGAAAAACCTGACGGGGGGCTAAAAATTAAGGCATTGAAAATAAGAGCTGGAAAATATAACACCAATCAACCGTCAAAGGGCTTATAAATAAGGCATATGAATAGTTTTTGCCTTGCTATTTTTTTAGAATGCAATGAACCTAAAGCAAATGTAAACAAGTCACACAGTCCAGTGTGTTTGTGTTTTTGAATGCAAGGGAACTGACGCTTGTTCAATAAACATCTTGTAATTTATATCTGACGAAAGTTGAATGTAAAATAAATTACATTTCAAGATGGAACGACATACTTTTTGGAAAAAAATTAAATTGTAGATGGAACTTTGAGTCCGACTAATTAGGTATCTGTAGACGTAAAGCAGGGTCTTCAAAATGCATTTACCAATCTTTTTAAGACTTGACAGTTTGCAATAGTAGGTTGGTGGGCGTTTCCTGAAATCAAACGGTAGACACTAGAACATTTCCTGGTTGATGCTTTAGGTAAACCTCCCCCCTTTCACACGCAGTCTCGTTTGTTTTGCAAGCATTTTATCGCAGCTTAATTGCAGGGGTAAATTAGTTTGGTGATGTATACTGTTAGTTTTTCATTTAGGTATTCAGTGAAGTGCGAACAGACCTAATTGCTTTTAACACCCCCCAACCAAAAGTAATTTTTGAAAACAGTTTGCGACAGTAGACACACCCCGTTTTATATTTTAATGCACCATAACAGCTCCTTCAACGTATATAAACGGTTTAGAACCATCATTGACTTTGCTTTATCGGTAGATCCTTTTTTGCGTCTGGGCTTCAACGAAGATCTTTCATCCGCGTGGACATCGACATAAATGCAAAAAATATATATTAGCTACCGCCTTCTGCCTAAAGAGTGGCAAATTTATTAAATGCCATCGAAAACAAATCATAAAATGAGGCACTGAAGAGTTTAGTTACCAAATAGACAGATTATTGGCGTTTTCAGTGGCCAGTGCTCAATGCGTGAAATAGCAGTCACATGTTTCATTTAGACAGTATAATGTTAAATTCCTATTGCGTCAACTTCAACCATGTGTGCTTTTTGATCCTTTTGAGTCAGGAACATAAATTCCGCAGCAACGGGACATATCTGTACAGAAGCTCATGGAATTACATGCAGCTGCATACGAGGTCATTCATGCCTCGCAGGATGCTTGATAAAACGTCAAGTAATGAATAGCACTTGACCTAAATGCATTTGTGGGTTTTTCGCACGATCATGAGGAAATGCAACTAAAATCGTACAACCCGACATGTCATAAACAGGATAAAAATGTAACAGGAGTCACATGGGGCTCGAGTGGCTTCCCTGCTTATTCTTCTTTTTGAAACACTGGCATCTCAATTATCTCAATTGTATTATCTCAGCAATCAGATAAGTTAAGTTTGAATCACAAGAAGTGTGTACTTTTGCGTCCTTTTATAGCAGGTGTCAAAGGCACCCATATTTGATAAGGCCTTTTATAACTAATTACGCTTTATAATCAAACATGTAAATTTTCCATAGCTGTCAAAAAATATGACGATTCACAATATTTCAAGCATAGAGGAAGTCAACGGGGACACTATAGAACTCACGTTTACCTCACAGAAAACACGATTTCCAGAGCTTTAAAAACAGAATGTTAGAAACGAATAATCTAATTAAAGTGGATAAAACATCAACAAGTAGACTATATTTTAATTCATTTTTGTCCCCTAAAGACGTCAGCCCTAGTTTGTCGCCCCATTCCAATCCTCTTGACATCCTTTTTCGATAACATCTATATATTTTTGCAATTTCTTTCCAATTCACGCTTTCCCATCAACTGCGTTTTGCACTTCTTCGCCCAGCTTCCCCAACTGTCAACAAAGAACACCATACCGGAGTACAAAGTTCAGGATATTAACGCGTCAAAATGCATCATCCTGCACTACAGCATTTTCAAGATTGTATGGGACTGGCTAATAGTCCTATGCACCTTCTACTTCGCTGTAGTAGTTCCTTTCAATGCAACATTTCAACGTGACAACAACGAGCGCATTTTACGCAACCTAGATATGGTTCTCGAAGTTCTATTTATTTTAGGTAAGTTTCTTTCTGATGTGTTAGCAAGTCAATGCGAGTATGCAAAAATGAAACAATGCAATGTAATAGGAAAAGTAATCCAGCCTTGAAATTTGCTATACTTATGTCTTCTACTTCCCTATTCTCTCCCAAACCACTCACGCGATCCTTCCCTTCCCACTGTTCTTCCTTAAAAGTTCAACGAACTCTAGCATTGCGCGTTGATATAAGCTGTAGACAGGAAAACAGAAGAGTCCTATGCCGAGTAATTTTGTACCCTATGGAAAGCGAATGTGCCTTGTCCGGAAAGATGTGCGCCACTGGAAGTACGATAGGGCGTGTCTGAACTTTCGACCTCCTTGTGGCAGTCCACCCACTACACATTACCGTGACCGATCTCACTCCTGTTCTGTCCAGCAGAGAGGTCAGAGAGCAGTTTTAGTCTGTGCAAAGGGCAGATCAGTGTGGTCTGGTAATCGTTCGGGATCGCGGGCCTGTTTGGTTTGCCTG